GAAGCTACATTAGACTATCTACGTTGAACAGCAGCACTGCTGTCAAACTATACTTCCTCATCCTCATCATCTATAGCTGTAGCTATTTCCTTGATCCTGTTAAGCTGCGTGGCTCAGCATTGCGCTGCGAACTTGTTCTTGACTATGTTTCTCTGCTATGTTAGTTTCTCCACGTATAACTTAGAGTAAAGCAGGAAGTTAAGCTTAACCTTATTAGCAACCTAGCTAATTTAAAAACTATAATATCTATACTGCACTGCCTTAGCATTAATGCTATATAGTTCTAGAGCCTTAAACACATGACCCTTAATAAGATTAATAGACTAGCAGACTATCTTTAGTCTAGCTACTATAAACTAGACACTGTTGTTAACTTAGCCTGTGTGGATATTAAAGAACTTGCGCTACTTTAATACTTGCACATCCTTGTCTAGACCCTCACCTACCTAAGCTATACAATCTTGCCTAAACTCCTAAACTATTCTCTACAAGGATGTTAGTACTATTACCTAGAATAGAGAGTGCAGAGATGTTTTAGACTTACTACAAAAATAATTGCCTTGCACAATTGCACGTTAGAAGCAATACAGTACTTGCTCTAGTAAGTAACGCTTAGTAGATTAGGTTAATCTTTTCTTAGATTAGGAGTAGTAGTGCGCTGTTGTGCTGTCTTCTTTGCCTTGTATAATATGTGCTCTATCTTAGCTAAGCCCTTGCAGATATTGTTAATAGCCTTATAGATAATTAACCTAAGTATCTTGGTAGGGTTCTTAAGTATTTTATTAAGCTAAAGATTATTCTTACTAAGGTTATCACCCCACCTAGTTTGTGGGCTAATTAGTGGTATAGCATCTAGGTTTTTGTCTTGATATTTGTATATGGCGTTGATGAAGTTTAGGAAGCTAGCTAGTATCTTAGCCTTCTGGTAGCTTCCTAGATTGACGTGCGTGGCTGACTACAACTTGGGTTTTAGTTTTCCTAAGCTGTCACTACTAAGGTCCTGCTATTCAGAAACTGCCTCATCGTGCTGCAGCTTAACTTGCGCCATGATGTTCATCTCAATCTCCCTAAGCATTTCATGGTAGTCTAGCTTGTACACAATAGGGAGGTACTAGTCCTTTAGCTTGCAGTTTATTAAGTTTAGCTTACAACCCTAAATATTAATAGAGTTGTAGTTACAACTAATAAAGTATATTCTAATAATCTCTGCAGTAACCTTAAGGATTTCCTTTATCCTTAGGTTATTCTTAATTCTATTAGCTATTAGTTAGGCAAGTTCTTTTCTAGAGGCCTTCTTAAATACTTTCTAGGTCTTTAGTGTCTCCTTAAGGTCATGCTTCTAAAGGAACTAGATAGTTTTGTCTAGTAGCCTCTTCTAGGCTAGATCTTAACACCTTAATGCCTTAAGTACAAAGATAAGCACAGTTACAATACTATTAGCTATAGCTAAGCCTGTGATTGCTGTAAAGGAGGGTTGTAGAGCTAGGTTATTAACAAGGGAATTAAAGGGATTAATAATGCCTGTGTAGGTTAAGGTGTTCTTACTACTAGCAGAGTAAATTTTGTTAATAATCACCTATGCTGCATATAGAAGGTTGCAGACTATTGTTACAGTTCTCTTAGTACCTTTATAGTCTTTCTAGATAGCTGTTTGTGTGGCTTAATTATGCTGCTTACTATCCCTGCCACCTTTAAGGGCTTTGTAGATAGTTATTTAACACTTCTTATTAAGATCCCTTAGTTTCTTATAGTGTGAAGGGTTTGTTTTCTTAATCTTAGTATTAATCTTAATAACAGCTTTAAAGTTCTCTTAGATAACATTGTAAAGTTAGCTCTACTAACACTTGTTTATAGAGACAATGAAAAATCTGCTGCTAGTTAGGCTTAGTTAGCTTGTAGTAGCACGTGTGTGATCATACTATGTGCTGCAGCTTAAGTATTTAACCTTAGCCCCTTCTACTCTATTACTAAGATCTAATAGGAAGCTGTACAAAGGGTGTGCCTTGTTGTCCTAGTTAGGGCAAGGCAGCATCTTAATAAGATTGTTAATAGTAATACTAAAGTATAGGCTGTTAGCTTCTCTACTGTAAGTCTTACAGTGCGTCTTGCTAGACTTGTGCAGTATGATTATCTTTAGGCGCTACTCTAGGGGCACCTGCTTAAGTAGAGGGCTGTCTTGTAACACCTTGACCTAGTCTTGCGGCCACAGCTCTACGCTGTTTAAGTAGGCTAACAGGAATGTAGCCCTAACTTGCAGTAACTAACCTTTAAACAAGCTATTAGGACTAAGGTGCAAATACTAATTAGATAGCAGTATGCAGCCCTTGTAAGCTTTAAATATAAGGATATAGTTTAAGAAGTACGCAATAATAATTTGTATAGTTTTACCTAACCTGTTTTATCAGTGAGCGCCCCACCTCAGTGAGCGCCCCACGAACACCAGCAAAGCGCATGCGCGACACTCAACGCGTAATGTCTCAACAACCACAACCTCACAAGCCCTATACTAAAGCTAACATGCAGCTTGCCCTCTCTAACATTAAATGCAACCAGATTACAAGCCTGCGACGTGCTGAGGCAGTCTACAGCGTTCCTTGTAGGACGATATAACAACGACGTGACGGGAAGCCCTCTAGACGCGACTGCGAGCCTAGATCAAAGCGCCTGACAAAGCTAGAAGAGGAGGTAATTCTGCAGCGTATACTTGACGAGAACCTACGTGGAGTACCGCCCTCGAAGCTACACGTACAAGATATAGCTGATAGACTGCTGCGCGACCGCGGCGGTGAGCCTGTTGGTAAATGCTGGGTTGACAGGTTTATTAAGCGTACACCTGAGCTGCGCACGCGCTGGACTTGTCTATATAATTACTAGCAAGCTCTCTGCGAAGACCCAGCGATTATTAAGCCCTAGTTCACGCTAGTTTAGAACATAAAGGCGAAGTATAGTATTGTGGACAACAATATATACAACTTTAACAAGTCTAGCTTCCTAATAGGCAAGATATCTTCACAACTTGTTGTAACAGGCATAGAGAAACCTAGGAAAGCGAAGAAGCTTTAGCCTAGTAATTGCGAGTGGACTATGTTAATATAGGGCGTCAGCGCAACAGGGCGTGTTATCCTACCCTTCCTTATCTTTGCTGGCAAGGTTCTTATCTCTAACTAGTTTACTAAGGACCTCCTACGCAATTAGGTTATTTAAGTAAGCCTAACAGGCTGGACGAACAACAATCTAGCGCTTGCCTGGCTTGATTACTTTGATACGCATGCGAGGCCTGTAGGAGCGTATAGGCTGCTGATTATTAACGGCCACAAGAGCTATTGCTTAATAGATTTCTAGGATCGCTGCAAGGAGAAGAAGATTATTGCCCTCTGTATGCCTCCACACTCATCGCACCTCCTGCAGCTGCTTGACGTTGCCTGTTTCTTGCCATTGAAGCGCGCGTATAGTGATTAGATCTCAGCCTTAGCACGCAATCGCATTAACTACATCAGCAAACAGACCTTCTTACTAGCCTTTAAAGTAGCTTTTAAGAAGGTGTTTATAAGAGAGAATGCTTGCGCAGGGTTTTAAGGCGCTGGATTGTCTCTACATAATCCACAGGCTGTGTTATTGAAGCTAGATATGCAGCTGCGTACGCAAACTCCACCACAGCAAGTCAACGCCGCTTGGGAGGCGAAAACACCACGCAACGCTAAAGAAATAGAGGCGCAATTAACACTAGTTTAAAACAGGATAAAAATCTATTAAGGGTCTCTAGCAAGTTCACTTAATGAGCAGGTGTGGCAGCTAACAAAAGGCGCGCAGTAGATAGCTTATAAGATGGTGTTAATGCGCGCAGAGATAGTGCGCCTTAATACTGCTACTAAAGCAGCAACAAAGTGTAAAAGTCGCAAGAGACGCTACGTACAGGCAGAGGAGACATTAACAGTTAGTGAGGTATTAGACTTAATTACTAAAAGGGAGGGTGGCAGATGTGAGGAGGGTAAGGAGCTGGCGAAGAGGGTGCGCGCAGGGCGACGCTGCGGCTGTTGCAGTGAGATTAGGCACAACTCTCACACCTGCAAGGTAGAAATTAAGGATATAAATAACAGCGACGCTTCTAAATAATACTATACTGTTGCAAGAGTACAAAATTTGTGTTGTGGTGCTAAGCTACGTCGCTGCGCGTACGCCTCGCTGGTGTTCGTGGGGCGCTCACTGAGGTGGGGCGCTCACTGATAAAACAGGTTATACCTATATAATCCTGCTTAACATAGCCGCGCAGAGGGCTAAAAACTATAGAGTGAATGACGTTAGAGCTAACTACTTAATAAGCTATAAGCCTGAACTTAGGGTTAAAGCCTAAGGCAGGGTCAACTGCAATAAACTAGTGCTTAGACGTATACTGTTCGCGCAGTTGTTCTATAGTAACACTAAGTGTGTCTAATACGCTGCGCCACTCCTCTAGAGTTACTTGCATGGCCTTAAAGCCTGCGTCTAGTTTATTAAGTTTACATTGCATGCTGTTAAAGTTAGAAGTATACTTTGCTAATAGTAGAATACACTTACTACTTAAGCAACTTAGACTTATAGTTATTATTACCTTCCCCTTCCTCTACACTATAGATTAGCTTAATTAACTTGTCTATGTTAGGGAGGACGCTATACACTTCTAGTTAGTTAAGCTCTAGTGTTGCTAATCTTAATTCTAACTATCTCTTAGGTGTACTCTTTATTTTTTTTCTTTTCCTTCTCTTATTATTTGTGCTTTTAATAGATGTAGAGTTACTTCTACTTAAGTTACCTCTAGACTTGTTAGCGCAATAATTGTCTCTGCTAGTCTTGCCTTCACTAGTCTTGTTAGCGCTAGCTACATTAGCCACGTTAACATTAATGCTGCAAATTAGGGCATTTATTAGAGCAAGGCCTTTAACAGCAGCTATGTTAACTGTGTTAATATTAGTGCTGCTAGATAAGGTATTTGTTAAGGCAAGGACTCCTGTGGTAGACAGGGCTTAAGGTTGCGTAGATCCTATAATTTAATTGTTAGTATATACTGTTATTAACAGTATAGAAACTTTAAATATATACCTTTCTAGCCTTGTTTAGTGTTTGCTAATGTTACAACAATTTTAAAGTTGTTGCTTTAGTGGATACTATTCGCAAAGTCGTTGATAGCAGCTTCAAGCTCATGTTGGCTGCTAATCTTGTCGCTATTGAAGCTCAGCAATAGGTCCGCCTTGTTGATGATAGCTGCAGCGGCGGTTGCAGCACGCAGCTGCAGGTAATCTACATCCATTGACGTCATTATCTTAGTTCTGTTGCTGAAGGCGTTAGGGCGGAGGGCTTTTTTTATAGTGACGCGTTTGATGGGCGTCCTGTTGGCATTAATGAATGAAATGTTGCTTAAGCAGATGTTTAGGATAGAGGGCATGCTATCGCTTACGTCAAGATATCGCATCTGACTTGCTGCAACACTTACAGCTAAGCAGGTGGGCGAGGTTGTGGTACTATAACTAAAGAAGAGCTTGTTGTTTGTGGGTTCCTGGTTAGCACGCAGGTTAATGCTGTATGCTGTGCCATTAATCTTGATTTCCTCTTAAGCATCCTGGGCAATACGCAGCATTGCCTCCTTCTTAGCTGCCTCTAGCACGATATTGTTGCCTTTGCCAAACAGCTTGTCTGTGTTCTATAAAGAATTCTGCACTAGCTATCTTATTAGGGCAGACTACGTGGTCTTCTAGCTAGGGCTGTTACTGCTGCTCTGTGCGCCTTATAGGAGCTCATCTTTACTAGCAACAAATTTAACAGCTTCTTTAATAACAGCCTTAAGCTTTTCTTTGCTAATGTAGTAGCATTGCAGTATGTGTTTAGTGTACATCTGCTAGTAGCCTTGACTCTTAGTGGTGCCTGTGCAGAGCGCGAGATAACCCTCTGTTGTGGTCAGCGCATCTAGAAAATATAGATGCTTAGGTAGCGCCTCTATAGTAAGCAAGCGATGTTATTGCGTTTAGTAGTTAGAAAACAGTGGCTGTTATTAAGTAGGCAACGTTTAGGCTATATTATATTAGCTTAGGTTGTGTTTACTGTTTATACGCAACAATGCATGTCCCCTGCACTAACACGCTCTTTTACCTCTGTTGCAGCTGAGACTTACTCTAGCTAATAGTATAAATTTAAATAATAAGAATGTTAGACTCTAGATATGTGTTTAGCCGCCGCTACACGTGTAGTGGTAAACCTAGAGAGTGAAGATGCTGTCGCTATAAGATATAGCTAAAATATAGAGATAAAGAGTCTTTGTTAGTTTTGTGGAGACTAAGAGTTTCTATTGCCTTTGTTTAGACAAAGAAAGCCTGTTCCTCCCACTCTAAGCATACGCTAATAAAAGCAGTAAGATATACTGTGTCCCTTAGTAGGATCTAGCTATACTGTGCTAACCTGTATCACTTCCTTATGCAGTAGTAGAAGTAGAACTAGAACTCCTGCAGTCTAACAGTAATTAGTGAAAACCTAGTTACGTGCAATAAGAGTAGCTGCGCAAGGCAAAGCCTCTCTTACCTTCTATTTAGACACACTATCCTCTATAATAATACCTACCTCCTACTCTTACTATTAAGAATTCTGCTTGCTAATACGTTTGTAGTTAACTAAGAGCTTTTTTACTTAGAGCTTTTAAGGTTATAGAACTTAGTAAATAGAGAGTAAGAGGTTGCTGTAGTTAACTTTCTTAATAGCTAATGTAACTGCGTAAGCAGTGTTAGTTAGAGACTGTAATTAATAAGTGTATTGCTATCTATTATTGTTCTAATACTCTGTTATTTAAGCTCTTAGCTCTTAGGTAAGTGCACTTGCCTACTAGGCAGTGTCTACTATAATAGGATATTATGTAATCTAAGCTATGTAGTTACAACTAATATTACTTTAATTATATCTAAGGGAATGTTTATAGAGTATAGTAGTGGTCTTATAGTAGCTTAAGAAAGCCCTAGGCATGTGGATAGCTTAAAACACAATTAATTAATAGCAATATTAATGTTGGCGCTAATAGGACAGAGTATAATAATTTAAGCTTACTGTGCACAGAGTACAGCTAGGTGCTATTGTGACAAGACTGCAGATCCACTTCTAATATAGTCTATAACGCTGTTATCCCTTCCTCTAATTCTGCAACACCTAGAGCTGTGCGCCTTAGCCTGCATTAATGTCAGCACTAAGCCTATACTAATTGCATCTACACTAAACAAGGAATCTATTAATAGATATAAGCTTATTGTCGCAGCCAGATCGCGCACACACTGGAGCATATTTATTTTAGCAGATTCTATTAAGCGTTAGTATGGACCAAGCGCTGGCACTTTCACAGCTAACTTCTGTTATCCCACGCACTATTAAGGTACAACAATTGCTTAATTTACAGTAAACAACGCTGTAAGTATTGCTAACTTTGAAGGCTGCGGATAGCTCAAAGTTGTGGGCTGCAAATGACGCGTTATTAGCAACAGCAACACTGAAAAAGCTCGCGATAGCCACAGCAGCCTACACACAAGCTTCACACGACCTACAGCGGTTATTGCCTCTGCTTAACAGAGCCTAGAAGCCTCAGAATTAAACAGTACACACACAACCTAGGAGAGAGCGTTCATAGTTAAGGTTGACACAGAGTTTAAGTCTACTAATTACAGTCTTATATTAGTTAATTACTACTAGTAGCACAAATAAGTAAGACAAGTTTCTAATAGTGCTACAACACCTGCATAGGATTAGTTAATTAGTAACCTATAATAGATGTAATAGATCCTCTAGTTCTAAAGTAAACTAATAATTTTACTTAAGAGAGGTGTCTTTGTCTAGGTTAAGTGTTTAAGCTGCTAAGTAATCACCTTTATACGCTGTATGCATTGGCTAGCAATAAAAAAGGTAGTGCTGCTAGGCTAAGTGTCAATACTATATTATAGTCTGCAACACTAGCAGAAATAATAATAATACCACAACTGCAGACCTTATAGAATTAGCTTGCTTCTAGGACTTATTAATCAGCGCGAGAATAACTAAATAAGCAAGTAATAATAATATAATAGGGTTTAGTTAAAGCAGAGCCCTACTAATTATGCGCGTAGCACTAATTTAAGCCTACCTACTTATTTAAACAGCTACCTAAGAACTAATTAGACCTTTAAATGTACCTATATAATAAGATACCTAGGTTAAAACCTATACTGTGTTAACATAACGTAATCGGCCATTGAGTCGGCCAGGCAATTGAGCCGGCCACCTTTGCCAAGATCACACCTCATTCCACCTCTCATCTAATGTCTCAACAACCTAATCTTAGATTACTTCCTTGTAAGGATAGGATAATCCTTGCTATCTAAGCTATGAAATCCAACGCGTTAATAAGCCAACAGCGCGCTGCTGCTATCTATGACGTTCCTCGATCAACCCTCCAAGACTGACGCGCCAAAACCACCTCACAACGCGATTCCCACCACAGCAGATCAAGGCTTACTAAGCCTGAAGAGGAGGTGGTTATACAATACATAAGGAAGCTTGACGCGCGAGGCTTTGCCCCTACGCTAAGCTACGTACGTGAAATGGC